AGTACCCCTCGCATCCATCGTACTCGATGGGAACCATTTGTTTGTCTATATGTGAAGGTATTTGCTTAGAGATATTGCTATAAAAAGTGTTCTAAGGGGTGAAGAGAAGGGTTAGAAATAAAGAACAGAGAGATAAAGGGGAAGAAAAGACTCGGTAGGACCTCGTGGTCCTATGCCTACGTATTCTCAACAGGTATGAGAAAGTCAGAGTCAACTTAGTTCGGAGAACTACGGATAAAAGACAAGAAGAGTGCTCGACAAGGATTGGGGCCCTTGTGCCTATGTATCTTCACTTAAAAGAAGTGAAGAATCAGAGCAGTCGTAGTTTGGCCTACAGTTAACTGGTGTTTTTGTGGATGATGCTAACGTGCGCATTCTAGCAGTTAGGTGTATTGCAGCTCGCTTGTGGAGTCTTAGGGGTTACCTGTTTGCGGTAGAATGGATGTAACATATCCTTTTGGAAAGAGATAGTTTTCGCCTTCGAGGCAAGATGTCACATTTGATTTGTGGAAATTGCTTTTAGGGATGAAATAGGTCCTCGGATAGTAACCCCTTGCGGGTAGTACCCAATTCTTTATCTCAAAGATTTATTATGAAAAGGTGTGGCGAATATAGTCACGTCTTCGTATTGAAAGACGGGAATCGAGACCACACATTCTACACTGAACCCTAAAGGTAATTTCAAGCACTCGGGGTAGGAGAAGGCCTATGCCTATCCACTCCACCACCATTCAAGTTTTATTAGGAAAAGAGTTTGAAAATAACTTGACGTTGGATCAAGCCTCATTTGCTCTTTATTTTGAAAACGTGTTCTAGCCTAGTTCATTTTATCTTTCTTAACACGTAGCAAGCAAGCAAGAAAAGCATTAAACTATCACACTGTAACGGGAGAGGGATACATATAAAGTACAGGGGATTGCGAGAAATAAATGGTCTCATTGTCAGGTAGCCCAAGAGAAAGTCGTGTGTGTGCGAGGTGTCCTAAACTAAACAATGAAAATGGGTTTAGACAAAATAAACAGATTAGGGTTTATGTACAAGGGTTTAAACTTCAATACCCAAGGTAATGATCAACAGTCCACCAAATTAGGGTTTTTAGGGTTTCGACAATTTTAGTGTGTTTTTGGTATTTTGGATGAAATAAACAGGACAACGGTTAGATGAGTAAGATATGAATAATATGACAGGATGAATATGAATAATGGTGATAAGAATGAACAAGATTATAAACAAGATAATATCGACAATATTATAAACAAAGAAAAAGTGCAAAAACATAAAACAATAATATATTAACAGAAATGTAAAGCAATTATTTTGAACAAAAATAAAAGTCAGAGGTTAAAGATTAATGGAATGAAATGGGTCAAAAAGAAAGGGATCTCGTCTTAATCATAAACTTGTGTCGATTAATCGAAGGTAATCTCTCACGATCCCAAAGTATAGAAAAATGACCCGAATGATCATTTTCTACAGATTTGAAATAATGAAGATTGTCGGCTTCGATAAGTTGATGTTTACGAATGTAAAGACTTCATTGACCGATAAAATGGAATAAAATCGAGATGAATTTGAAAGTGAGGTTGGATCTCGTTTTAATCATAAACCTTATGTTAATTAGTCGAGGGTAACCTCTCACGATCCTAAAGTATAGATAAATAATCCAAATGATCCTTTTCTATAGATTTGAAATAATGAAGGTTAACAACCTCGAAAACTAACGTTCATGAATCGAAAGACTTCATCAATCAATAATCGAAATAATAATAATAATAAAAAAAGAGTAAAAAACTATATGTAAGATCAATAAATCCTAATGTCACAAAACAAGACTTTACTTACAGAGATTAAGTAAATCCAAAATGAAGTAAAAGAGAAAAGATAAAATTACAAACAGATATCACAAAATTAAATAAGTTTATATAAAAACTAAAAGAGAAATAAAAGAGAAAAAACGAGAGATGAGGGCGCGTGCAGTAAAACGATGGTATAACCAAGAAGACATCATGGGTCTAACCAAAGCCCGTCTTATAAAATGGATGATTAAAAAAAAAAGATCAAGATTCTCCTCACTCACCATATGACACGGTCAAGGAGCTTGGTTTAAAAAACAACACTCAAGTTTCATTTTCTTCTTAAAAGAAAAACTGGGTCAGCTAATTAATTAAAAAAAAAAAGAAACAAAGCAAATCAAGGGCACGGTAACAGAAGCGGCGCATTCATTTGGGGAAACAGAAGCAAACACATTAAGTTCTCTCATCATCTTTGTACCTTCGAAAAAATTCGGAAGAAGAAGAAACAACAAAGCTTGCTCCAACCTTCTTGCTCTCTCCTGTCTTCGTCTCACACTCTTTGGCTCTCGTGTTTGATTCTTGTTCGATTCGTTTTGGTTTGAAGGTATGGGTTTTTGGATTGGTTTCACTCTCTTCTTCTCCTTCCACTTTGTTTTGTGTTTTTGAATGATTCGTGTGTTTGGATGATTTTAAGGGTATGAAGATTGAAGGAACGGATCCTTGAAGGTTTTTGTGAGGATTTAAGTTTTTATCGTTTGGAATATTTTGGGGTGAGATGGAAAGGTTGTCACAGTTTTGCCGAACGAAGGTTTGCAGCCAGTCATGGATGGATGGGAGAAGTATCTGTGTTTGAAAATTGGAGAAGGATGAGAAAGAAGACTGGAGAAAAAAAAGTATCGGCTCTCGCCCCTCTGAAATGAGGAATTAAGGGTTGTATTTAGAAGAGGAAGTGAGCGAAATTGTTTGTTGTTGTTGTGTTATTATGTTCCGTATTATGTGCGCAGGACGTGAGAAGGAATTACTTGCAGCATCATACCACCTCGAGGTCGGTTCACTTGTGGTAAAGGCCTGATATTTGTTGCGTATGCTGTGTATTATCATCGTACGAATTTCCACGTGCTAGCTGGCCTTTGGTTTTGGCGTGTCGTGATAGCTGCTAAGGATCGTACGAGCTTGCAGGTGTCTATAGGTTGGTGCGTGCGAAATGTGTGACACGATTTATGGGTGTTTTTGTATAAAATTGAGGTATTATCAAGGAAGGATTTTTGCATGGCTAACATTGTTGCGTGAAACATGAAGGTTGCAAACTCGGTATTTCTTTCACTCATACGTGTACAGGTTTCCTATGTAAAAGGTAGTTGGCATTTTGGTTAATTGTTTATGAGTTTGTTAACAATAATTATTTTTTTTTGAAATGGATGGGCTCTTATTGCATAAATGGGCTTTTAAAAAAAATTAATTTCCATGAGCCTAGAACTTTGTAAGATTCTTGTGATAAATAAATAAAAAGTAGTGGGATTTTTTTAGTAAAAATGATGATGGGCCTAAAAAGAAATGAGCTTAGAATGTGGATTTTGTTGAATTATTTTTGAGCAATTTTGGGGTAAATGAACTTCCCATATTACTTTTGGCTTATTCATGAACTTTGTAGACTTCTTGCATTATGATAGATACTAGGTAATTCTCGATTATCGACCATGATAACTTGAACTCCCATGTAGATCCACAAATAATAAAAAATTCGTATTTAAAGCTTGAACTGGGCCACCATGAATCGATCTTGAATCTTGAACTTAGAAACCTAAACCAATATTTGAGAAACAGGCCCACATGGATTAATCAAGAACCAGTCTTGAGCTTTGGAACTTGTACTCAAAACTTCACCATGAACCTCCTTGAGCAAAAGCCATGCCTTGAAATCAGAGGAATTATGAATTGAGACATGACATTTCAGAATGTTCCCCAACCATCCTAATTAAAAATGAGCTGAGTCCTAATGATTACCAACCATGAAATACCATGATTCGGACAAAGCCTGACAATGTTATCCATCCATAACATACTCAAACTGGCATACAACCTTAATGGAAACCTTAATCATTCACCACTGAAACAAATGCACCCCGGCCTTGATCATGCAACATAACTTGTTTGACCAAGATTAGGTCAAACCTAAGGGATCTTCAATCAATACTAGACTTATCCTTGGCCCGATGAACTACAATTGAAGGTAAAAACATTTTTTTTTTTGGATTTTCAAACTAACAATTGGTGGGTAGATGTACAGATGTAGGTGATATACAGGTACGATAAATTTGGGGTATGACACACCTAAGCTGATTAATGGTGAAGTAGAAATCGAGATAGAGCAAGAAGACATTGAAACTTAAATTGAATTATGGGATAATGCTCTAATTCTATATGTGATGGGGGAAGATTTAAGCATGAACACGGTGAAGAATTTCATGTAGAAGAACTGTAATTTTGTGAAGATGTCGGATCTATATTACCATGATGAAGCATACTTCTTGCTTCGGTTCAATTCACATGAAGATAGGGATGCGGTGATGATGAATGAGCCTTACACCATTGGAAAAATGCCTATGTTATTGAAAGAATGGAAGCCTAACTTTAATTTGAAGAAGGATCTATTGCACACACTTACAATTTGGATTAAACTGCCACAACTCCCTGTTCATCTTTGGGGAGCTAAAATTCTAAGCAAAATTGGTAGTGCCATTGGTACCCCCTGGTGACTGATGAATGTAAACAGAATAAGCTTCGAGTTTCATATGCTCACATTTTGGTTGAGGTAGATATCACTCAGCGGCTGGTACAAGAGGTTGCCATTAGGAATTGTGAGGGTGGTTTGATGAAGAAAGTTGTGGAGTACGAGTGGAAATCCACCTTTTGTGAGAAATGCCAAAAAATGGGACACCAATGTGGAGTCAATGCTAAAGTTCAGAGATGGCGACCAAAGCAAAAACCACATGAGGAAGTGAAAGTATTAACTCCTACCAAGAAACATGAGCCTGAGAGACAAGATAATGTCAAATATGCAGACACTTCATTGACAATGGTAAATAAATCTACTAGAGATAAAGGCAAAGGTATACTTTTTGGATCTACTTCTGGTGTTAACTGTAATAATGGATTTGAGGCACTTGAGGTTTTTAATGACCCTCTAGTGGCTACAGGTAGAGATCCATGATTATGTCATGGAACATTATGGGGCTTAACAAAGTGGGTAAGCTTAGGGATATTAGCTCCCATCTCCTAGAGCTTAAGCCTGCAATTGTCATTTTGATTGAAGCTAGAGTAAAGAAGAGTAAAGCCAAAGTTATCAGGGAGAAACTTCATATGAATAATAACTTTTGGAAAACTATAAAGATCATGAGAATGGTAGAATTTGGACGGGCTGGGATGATAGTAGAGTTGATATCAATTTTATGTAGAGTTCTAGTCAATTTATTCATTGTGGAATGTATGATGCAGTTGGTGGGTTCAAACACTGGCTGACAGCAATGTATGTTCATAACTAGTTGAACAGAAGAAGAATCCTTTGGAAGAAGTTAGAGCACCTTCATGGGAACCTTCAAGGCCTTTAGTGTGTGCTCGGAGATTTCAATAATATGGCTAAGGCTCAAGATCATATTGGAGCAAAATTGGTAACTGGAAATGAATATGAAGATATGCAGAGTATGATGGCTTCTACAGGTAAGAACGATAACATGAAGATCACTAGACACTTCAGGTTCAGTAATTGTTTGGTGGATTTACCTGGATTTTTGGATGTTATCAAGCACAATTGGGATCAACCTATCAGAGGTAGGCCCATGTACGTTCTTTGGAAAAAAACTAAAAGGACTTCAACCTAAGTTGGGAAGGTTTAGCAAGCCCCTATATAATGTGAAGCAAAATCTTGTGAAAGCTAGAGGGAATCTCAAAAAGGCTCAGAATGACCTAATAGCTAACAAAATGGACAAGAAAATCATTGATAAGGTGAAGGTATACACAGAAGAAGTCATTTATCTTAATGATATCGAGGAGAAGATCCTTAGGCAGAGGGCTAAAAATGATTGGCTTCGGATGGGGGATGGAAACAATGCTTTTTTTCATGCCTCCATAAAAGCTAAGCAAAATGCCAAAAGTTTGAACCATCTTCAAAACGCTGATGGTTCCACCATCCAAACTCACCATGAGATTGAAAGAGAAATTATGGATTTCTATGGGTAGTTGATGGGGAATTTGGATAACAATATCACCCATATTGACATTGAGGCTATGAGAATGGGGAATCAATTGGATATGGAGCAAAGAGAGCAATTGGTCATAAGCATATCTTAGCATGATATCACTAAAGCTTTAAAAGGTATGGGTGACCTAAAAGCCCTAGGTATTGATGGCTATGGAGCTAGATTCTTTAAAGCCAGCTGGCCTACTATTAAATATGATGTGATTGCTGTTGTAAATGATTTTTTTTTAAACATGTACCATTTATAAAGCTTTCAATAGTACTGTGATAACATTGATTCCTAAAGGTGACACTGCTAGGCAGATAAAGGGTTATAGACCTATAGCTGATTGCACTACTTTCTATAAGATCATTGTTAGGATCTTGACTGACAGGTTAGGGGGTCTTACAAACTGTTATCAGTCATTGCCAAACTGCTTTTGTTCCAAGCCAAAACATCCACAACCATATTCTGTTAGCTTATGAATTACTTAAAGGATATTCTAGGAAAGGTGGTACTCCTAAAACCATGATCCAAATAGACCTTCAGAAGGCTTATGACATGGTCAATTGGAAAGTGTTGGAATACATTTTGAAGAAAATTGGTATCCCTAGCCAATTTATCAAGTGGCTTATGGCAGGAGTCACTACTGTTTCTTATAAGTTCAACATCAATGGTGAATATACTGAGTTTTTACAGGCCAAATGAGGGATCAGGCAGGGGGACCCCATCTCCCCTCTCCTCTTTGTCATTCTTATGGATTATATGCACAGATCCTTGATTAAGATACAGAAAAATGCAAATTTTAATCATCATGCCAAATGTGAAATTTTGAGCCTCATAAACCTCACTTTTGCAGATGATGTGTTGTTATTTTGCAGGGGTGATGTTATATCTGTGGATTTGATGATGGGAGCTTTCAAAAGATTCTCTAGATCTACAAGTCTTGTGGTCAATCACAACAAATGTAAGATCTTCTTTGGAGGTATTGATGATAGTGTTATACCCCAAATTTTGACTGTTAGATCTTCATCATCATTCTAGGAGCATCATCATGTGTTTATTTAACCCTTAACCTACTTCAAGCCTGTCTTTGTCAAGATGCAGGTGAATTAGGGTTCCTTAAAGTCAGTAATCGGGGTTTCGATGGTTTGATCAGTCAATGTCTTGGATTGATTCTACATGAAGAAAATATCCACATCATCAAAGATACTATATTGGATCAAGTATGAATCCAATTTGAGGTTGTCACCCAAAGAAGAGGAACAGTGCAGTCCAGAACCCAACAGTGCAGTCCAGAACCCCCGATTAGGGTTTCTAATTAGGAAAAGTCAACAATGGTTTGACTTTTGATTTAAATGGTACTCCAATGATGGAATCATGGGCCCTGAAGATTATATGACTTACGGAAGTCCAATTAAGAAGTTTCAAGACCTCAGAAGACCCAGAACACCAACAGTTGATCCAGGGTTTCCCAATCAATCGGTTCGTCTGACTGAAAAGTCAACTCATTGACCAAAAGGATTTTAACCCCAAAATTGAAAGAAATCATGTTCCTAATGTTATATTACATCTAATCATGAAGTTTTATGACCTTTGGATCAAGGATTGAAGGGTAATCAAAAAATCGGGAATTAGGGTTTTGAAAGGGGCAAAACCATAACTTTTTAACCATGCATCCAAATGAAGTGGTTCAAAGCTTGTTGGAAAGGTCTTGGCAATTCCTACAAAAGTGAAACAGTGGTCCATGTACAAAAAATGAATATATTTGGAGTTATGATCAACATCATTACAAGAGGGGAAAACACTTAGTGAAATTTCACATTTTTAGCACCTTTCAAGTCATATTTTCAGCCAACTTCAAGGATGTTTTTGACCTAGTTCCACTTGGAATTTGAAAATTTCAAAAAGATGAAATTGGTAGAGAATGATGAGGGTTTTCCAAAAAGTACAAGAACTCCTCCATAGCATTTGTGAGCTAGGAGTTTCAAAGGAAGCAAGTTGGGGTTCAAACACTTGAATGCACCATTTCAAATTTGTCACAAATCAACTTGCCAATCATTTAAATCATTCTCAACCATTTGATCAACATTTTATCTAATAATTAGAGGGAATGATGAGTAGAAATGCATAAGAAGTGAAGGTTTGATAGGCTTGACAAGATGACAAGTCAAGTTGCAACCAAGTTGCAATATTTTAATAAAAATCAAGAGGAAAGAGAAACTTTTTCATGAAGAAACTTGCAGCTGCAGCTCTCCTACTCCCTAGCCTCACTTCATTCAATTTCATTTACCTCATACAACTTAATTTCTGCATCACAAGGGATCAAAAACTTTGATATCCAATTGCACCAAATCTTGGACAGATTTTCTCCAAATCTCCCTCAAAGACCAAAACTCAAAATCTGCCCTCACCCTTGATCATGTGGATTTTCCTATAAATAGGATAGCTTATATGCATAAAATACACACCATTACAACCAAGAAACCAGCCACAAACTCTCTCCCTCACCAGTTGCAAACTCTCTAGCAAATCCAACCAAAATCCAAAGTGCCAAAAATCTGTCTTGGACAGAACTTGCATCAAACCAATTTTAAACCATTCCATGCTTCTTTCAACATTCCACACAAGTTTTAAATGACCATCTATAGCTTTCCAAGCCACCACTTGCACCAGAAACCATTTCTTTCTCAAAGTCAACCTCCAAAACCAAAAAAAGTCAACTTTCTGCATCTTTCAAGCCATAACTTGTTATAGATCATTTCCAACTCTTTTGACACCTCTAACACATCATAAATAGCATATAGAAGCTGTCCAAATCAAGTTTTCACTTCTGTAACAAAGATTGGATCATGTTGCTTTGTAAAGTCATGGATTTTTGAGGATTTTCTTCACTTTTCAAGCCATTCTATTCAACAGTGGGGTTGTGGATCATTGGAGCTGGTATTCATAATTTAAAGACCATTTTCAGAATATATCAAGATATCAAGGACCTTTGGTTTTCTTATTTGACAAGGTTGCTTCAAGAGGTAAGCCTAAACCTTTGAAACTTGAAATTTTGCTTTGCATTTCACATGCTATGTTGAGTTGTAACTTTGTTTTTATGCTAGACATTGTCTGAGCATGTTATATGTGTGTTATATGTCATGTATAAACCACCATTTGCATTATAAATTGTGATTTCTTGACTGTCCAAAATGCTGGTCAGTAACTAAGGCAAGCTAGGTCACCATGTGCATGTTGATTCCAATATGCCAAACTATGTGTGCATTTTCTGGTTTCTCTTGAGCCAATCACTATAAATGATGTATGTGTGATGTTTGCGTACTTGTTTCATCAAACCTTGCTCTGTTTTGGAGTGTCCATATGTTCATGCTTTTGGTTGTGACCTAAGTTGCCTAAACAATGATGTTATCGAATTTTTCATTGAGTATGTTGTATGGAAAAAAATTGTACCATTGAATTCCTTGTTTAAAAACAAGAAATTTGAAATTTTGTTTCAATCCATTTGGTTAAGTTTTGACTGAGTTCCACTTCTTCATGCAAATGACTTAAGTTGCCTTACTTTGCCTTGCCCTAGTTTTGCCCCCATTGGTGCACCAACTTTGAATGATCATAACTTGCTCATTTTTTATGATATTGATGCCATTGTTTTTTCAAACTACTCCTTATAATGTCTACTTTCATTGAGTGAAGAAATAATTCAAGGATCACTATCCTAGAAATACTTTGATTCATTTGAAAAGCATGTGTTTTTAGGGTTTTCATCTTGATGTTTGTAAACTTTTTTAACTTGGAACTTGACTTTTCTTATGAGATTGATCTTGTATGATTCATATATGTTTTTTAGCATGTTTAGATTCTCAAATATGTTTGATTCATTGCCTTACCATGTTCATACTTTCTTTTGTGAATGCATATGTGTGAGAAAGGACCTTTGATTTTCATCTGTGAATTTGCCATGATTCTTGATGTTGTGACCTCTTGAATATGTTTACCATGTCTTATTCTCCTTATTTATGTGTCTTGTTAGAACCATAACATTTCTAGGGTTTGTTTCATGCCTTTGTGAATGATTGGATATGCATGGTATACCTTTGAGTTTCATCTGTGGACTTTGATATAATTCTTGATGTTGTGACTTCTTGAATGTGCTTTCCATACCCCTTCCTACTTGTCTATGTGTCTTGTTAAAGTCATAACATGCTAGGGTTTATGTTTTGCCATGATTGTTGTTATGAACATTTGTGTTCTCTTAGGAAACCATGGACTTATGCTTTGATG